ATCCACCATCCTCAAGAAAAGTATAGGTCTATGTTATCTCTACCTGGAATGTGCTTCTTAATAGAGGCTCAGTCTCAGTGTCACTTGGATGCAAATTTTCCCAACTTCCAGAGAGTGACTTGTAAGTTTTCCTCTGGGGCTCTGACTAAATTTAACTACAACTACCAGTACTTCAACTTACAACAAATTTCCACTTACATTAACTTATCTGGTCCCAACAATCCTGCGTGAAGGAGCAGGCCTCCATCGGCCAGGAGGCCTGCTCAGTGTACTGTCTGCGAGGCAGTCAGGAAGGAACCCCCTCTGGGCAGAAGCTGAGCATGTGGACACCACCCCTTGGCTGGTCTGAGGCTGTTTTCAAGGGCCTATGTTCTCTTCCTGGTGACAGTTGACTCCTTCACACCCCTGCCACACTCTGCATTGTGCTGAGGCCATACACTCTGGGCCCTGCTGGATCTTCAGAAGCATCTGAAACTTAAGAGCTCTGCCTCATCCACCCTGTTGGCCCCAGTGTCTGACCCAGGTCAGGTGTTCAGGAAACACTTCCTCTTCTGTCTGCTCAAAAACTGCAATTCAATTAGACTAAACGCGCTGAAGTTTGGAAACTGATCCTGATTGCCTTATATGGGGTCACCACAAGGCCAAGATTCAATGCAGTGAGGACAGCACAATGTGCTGAAAGAGATAAAGACAGAGCTTAACTGGATCTCTCAGAAAGTTTCCTGGGGGGCAGAGGGGAGAGAATGATGACAAAGTACGCGCCATGTGGCAGGACTGAAGAGTGAAACTGATAGAAAACAGAATGCTATTTTTACATCAAGGAACACTGGCTGAGGCTGGGGGAGAGTGGCATCCCGGGCAACATGCTGATCATCACTCAGGCATCGTATCAGCACACCGTGCCCACTCTGGGTAAGATGGACACCCAGCTTTACTCAGAAAAACCAGAAGCTCACCATAACTGCCCACGATTCTAACAGTGAACAGAAAGGAACACTGTGAAATGCAGAGCTCTCGCAGCAGGACTGGGGAAGAAGGTAGGCAGGGCCTCCCTGGCAACAAAAACTGTGGCTTCAAGTCCTGCTTAAGAAGTTTGGAGGATTCAACAGAGTCTCTAAGAAGCTTTTGGAGGGAAGTGACTAGCTATTTTCTGACAGTAGTCTGAACTCTGACAGCGTCGCTCACCCTGACTCTGGCTGTTAAGAACCCTTCTGGGACGTGCTGAGAGGCTCTGGGTGACATCTGGTCTCGGCTCTGCTCTCGCTCTCATGTCAGCACTGATACTTGGCTCTCTATTCCGACTGATTTCTGCTGGTTTCCCTAGGCCAAGCACACCCATTTTGTACACTGAGCACCCAGAAACATCTTGGACACTGAGCCAGTATCTCACTGGGACAAGACAGCTCCCACGTTACACCCGGGAATGTGTGCACCATGAGAAAACCTGCATGAACCAGACTCATCAGGGCACAGCTACAGGCCATGGCTCTTGAGCGAGCACACATAAATAAGTTGGACAAAGTGACCTCGTGTTCCTGTTTTCAGAAGATTATGTACAACACCCCCACGAAACTCTCATTTCTGAGAACCAAAGCCCAAACTTTGGGCCAAGCTTCAGCACATCCAACCACCTGCCAACCAAGCACCCAAGCACGTAAAGCTGTCAGTGTCTCACTGGGCGAGGACAGACACAGACCGAGCAGCAGTCAGGGCTCACCCACTGCTACTGCCCTTGACAAGGCCACATGCCTCATGCCAATGACTACAATGAAGGAGGCTCAGGCACGTGTAGACTCTGCCGGTATTCTTGTCTGTAAATGCCGATAACATCCACCACCGAGGATGTTATAAGGATTCAATGTGCTAGTGTGTGTGAAAGCATGAAAGACACGTCCACGTTCCCTGCCTCAGGTCACTGAGGAACAATCACCTTCCAACAGCCCACACTTCTCCCTCCCACGTTGACTACTCCAAACCACTGAAAGGAGAAACTACCCACTAAAGTTCATTCTCCCAAAAATTACTTATTGAGTAAGAACTAGTAAGTGCCAAATGCTATACCAGGCAGGAGCAGAGACCAGGATGAATCAAGGCTATCTCAGCCCACCTGTCATTCCTCTTCACCAGCCATGAAGAGGCCCAGGGATCCCTGCTTGAGAAATTGCACCCCTGCAGCAGGTCACAAGGCCAGACCCGACCTTCTACCTTATCCCTGTCTCGGCTTGGCCACACTATGCTACCCCCGGTCTCACCCACCTAGGACTTCAAGACACTTCTCTCCGCCAGGTGAAATAGTGGGGAACTTTCACTGCTGATCCCCTCCAGCAACCATGTCTCCAGGCCCCTCTCACTGTAAAAGTGTTTCTCCAATACGAAATGTTACAAAGTCTATTTTGCTACATGGTAGCTATTCACAAATACATCCCTTCATGCAGTTTGTACTCTGGAAACTCTTCTCCAACCAAGCTGGAGGCCCTCTGGTCCTACTCGAAGCCCAGGTGAAAACGTAGCCATGGTCCCTCCAGCCGCTAAAGTATTATGAAGCTGCAAAGAAGTCCAATACCGTATTCAGACCTGTTCCTAAAGTGGACATATGTCTGGGTCCTTTTCTAATGGAGCGCTCAAATATCTTCTCAAAATCTGAATACAAGCCTTTCCTGTCGGCCTATACTCAAACCAGACCAACAACTCAGGATTCCACAGCCCAGCTGGGGATCACTATAAACTGTTACCCTTCATAGTTAAATGGCATACATAATAATCCATCCATCCAAACTTGCAAAAGTGCAGAAGACAGATACTTACTCAAGAGTTTCACTGAGCATTGTGCGTACTGGCAAAAACAGCAAGAAACTATTTAGCTATCCATCTACAAGAGAGCTGAAAAAATGAGTCATCATCATTTCTGTAGCAACACTCTGTAACTCCAAGGGGAATGCAATGAGTTTCTACTGCTGGTGTGAAAACATCTCCAAGCAACATCTCTTAAGAACAAAAGGAGGAACAAGATGCAGAACATTGTGTATAATATGATCCCATCTGTGTATTTTTATCAAAGTATTTGAGTATACAAATTTTTTAAAAACTCAGAGAGTTGCACAAGAAACTTAACAGTAGTTGCCTCTGCAGAGTGGATGTAGGGTTGGAGAGGAGCTGGTGAGGGAAAGTCCCCACATTATGTTTCATTCCTTTTTTAAACTATGTATGCATTCACTGTGCTTAAAAATTCAAAACCATCCAATCAATTATCTATGAAAATAAGGAACAAGATCAACACTGATGAAATCCACAGATGATTTAAGAATGCCATTTCAAAACTGGTTCACCTCTTTATCACAAAGCTTCAAACACGCTGAATTAGGTCTCTCTCTCTCTCTCTCTCTCTCTCTCTCTCTCTCTCTCTCTCTCTCTCTCTCGCCTTGAAACAGAACGAATGGGCTGTGAAAGGGTAAGTGTGAGGCTGAAAGGGAAACAAAAGATCTGAATAATTCACAACCAGATCATCAGCCCTGCCATGAACTAGCGGATAACCAACCAGACCCTGACTTGGATGGAGTCCACATTGCTCTCAGACTGTGGGGTCTTGAAGGAGGACAGAGGCTTCAGAGCAGGCTGCACTCCACTTGGCAGACTGGGACACAGCAGGTCAGTGATTGGCTGCTGAACCAACCACATGGACAGTGACTGGGACCAATGGATAAACATGTTGTAAACATACATGTATGTATGTATTTGTTACATGCACACAACCCCAAATTACACACATGCGCCAGCCTCCCAAGTAATGGAATAGCAACAAAGATGATAGTATAAACACTGGCTAAGTTCCCTGGCTAGTCAATAAATGTCTGTGGAGCTCATAAATTGACTCCTATTCTGCCCTTGTGCTTGGCCCAGGCTGCTTACTGAGGAGATCTAGTGTGTACACAGGGAAGCTGCCTGGTTAGACCCCTGCAGTGGCCACTGGCATTGCTGTGGTTCTGTCCCTCAGCAGCTCCAAGAATTAACCTTATTCCAGGGTTTACCTGCTGCCCAGCCCGAGGCCTACCTGAAGCAGAGGTTAAATATGTAAACATATTTAAGGCACAAAGGTTGAAGGCCCCTGGTCCCTTGATACCAAAACCCTCTCTCATGGCAGTCATGGGGTCCCTGGAGCTGCTTGGCTACAGGTTACTTTGCATATTGCCAGGTCTTCCCCTCTACTGAGAAGTCAACACACAGAACTTACCACTGTACTCCCTGCCAAGATGACATGGGAAAAGAGTATTGCCATCATAGCTTTGTTTTCCTTTTGTGTCTGGCTTAGATCTCAAAAAGAATCTGAGGAGGCTTACAGAACAAATACCATTTTCAAATACAAGGAAAAAGACATAACACCAAAAGCAAAGCGATAAAAGGGAAAAAAACTGAATTATGCTGAAACTTAAAACTTTTAGTTGCAAATAATACCATCAAAAAAGAAAAAACCTCAAGAGAATTGGAAAAAATACTTGCCAATTATCTAGCTAATCAGGGACTTGTTTAAAGAAGTCCTACCACTCAATATTAAAAAGACAAGACACTAAAAGTAGGCAAAGCAGGGCCTGCTAATGAGTACAGGGTTTCTTTTTGAGATGATGAAAATATTTTTTATTGTTGTGATATTTGTACTCTGTAAATACATTAAAAACCATTGGACTGTACATTTTAAAAGGGTAAACTGTATGACATGTAAATTATATATCAACAAACCTGTCAGTTTTAAAATGAGCAGAATATGTGTAGACATTTCTCTAAGGAAGATAGACAAATGGCTAATAAGGAAATGAGAAGAGGCTCAACAGTATTAGTCATTATAGAACTGCAAGTAAAAATCACAATGAAATGTCCCTTCACATCCACTAGGATGGCTATTAAAAAAAAAAAGACAGACAATAACAAGTGTTTGCAAGGATGTGGAGCAATTGGAACTCTCATACATTGCTGCTGCTGGGAATACAGAATGATGTGGCTGCTTTGAAAAGAAGTCTGGCAGTTCCTTGAAAGGCTAAACAGTTATTATATGACCTAGTAGTTCCACTTTTATCATGTGGTAGTTCTATTTTCAGTTTTTCTGAGAAACCTCCATACTGCTTTCCATGGTGGCTGTACTTACTTCCCTCCCAACAGTGTTCAAGGGGTTACCTTTCTCACACCCTCACCAGCATTTGTTAAAAAGCCGTCTTTCTGGAAATACCCATTTACCTGGGGTGATATTATGTCTTACTGTGGTTTTAGTCTGCATTTCCCTGATTAGTGATATTGAACATTTTTTCATATACCTGTTGTCATTTGCATGTCCTCTTTTGAAAAAATGTCTATTCAGATCATTCGATTCAGATCATTTGCTTATTTTTAGTCAACTTTTACTTATATAGCACTAAAAATACATATATATTTTTTCTATCAAGTTGTTTGAGTTCCTTATATTTTCTGATTATTAATCTCTTGTCTGATGAATCGCTTATAAATATTTCCTTCTATTCCATAAGTTGTGTATTCACTATATGGATTGTTTCCTTTGCTGTGCAAAAGCTTTTTAACTTGATATAATCCTATTTGTCCATTTTTGCTTTGATTGCTTGTACTTCTGGAGTCTTACTCAAGAAATTTTTGCCCAAAACAATGTCCTGAAGTCTTTCTCTAAAGTTTTCTTCTAGTAGTTTGATAGTTTTGGGTCTTACATTTAAGTCTTTAGTCCATTTTGAGTTGATTTTTACATATGGTGAGAAATAGGGGTCTAGTATCATCTTCTGCACACGTATATCCAGGTTTCCCAGCACCATTTATTGAAGAGACTGTCCTTTTCATGATGGATATTCTCAGCTTCTTTGTCAAAATGAGCTATATGTGGTCTAGTTTGTATTTTTTTTTTTTTGCTAATATGTAAAATACATGTTTTAAAGATTACATCTAACCAAAAGGAAAACAAGGAGAGAAAAATAAGATGAAACTGGAATAAAATAAATGCACAAAATAGCATGGCTTGGGTGACTTGGGGAAGCAGGGCTGCTGGGGGAAGAAGATGGCCCTATATTGGACCCCAAGTCTCCTGGGAGCCAAGGCAGAACAGAAAGCATCATCAGTTGCAACATCACAGTGCTCACAGAGTGAACAAAAAAATACGAGAAGAGACTACTTCTCAAGAAGAGAACACTCTTTCTGGTACTGGAATGTAATAAAATTTTCCTTTGTGTCTTCCCAAAGAGAACACAGTCCCAACTGGCATGGAAGAGTGGAGGTTCCAGGAAGAATCTGAGGGGAAATTGGGACTAACAAATATAATCTGGCATTTAACTCTGGAAAATGTTGTTTAGGGCTTTGTAGAGTTGGTGGAGACCTTGGGAATGCAGCCAAACATTTGAAATAAACTGAGTTAATGAAAACACAGGGCCATTTTGAACTCAAAGGAAAAACAAAAAGGTTGTACAATATAAAAAGTGAAATTTTAGTATTCTACATTGCTCAACAGTCAGCAAATTTTAAATAGTTATAATAAGAAGAATACTGAGTACAGATTTAACCAAATTGTGTGTGCATATATAGCATTTTATTGTATACACACTGATAGAATTAAATAGATTGAGAGGATAGAGAAAGAGAGATTTGAATACATAATGTCTAACACTGTTAAAACAAGAACTAGAAGTAGGTGTGTATGATTTTAAAATTTAGAGGCAAGTATTAAAAGAACCAGTTGAAAGAGTCTAAAGTAGCTGACTCTGAAAAGCAGTCCTTGATATCAGGGCAAGAGTAGGGAACTGTTGCTTTTAGTTTTAACCTTTGACACTACCCATTTTTTCAATTTAAATGCACATATTACTTTATTTTAAATAAAAAAAAATTTTAATGAAATCAACTTGTGGCACACAGCAAAAGTCACTTAAGGTCAATGTCACTGAGATCATCACTTCTTTGATGGGGAGCAGGTGAGACCATGCTTGGAAACAATAGTTTTTCATCAGGAGAGTCCTCTCCCTGGGCCATCATAGACCCTGGCGCTCGAGGTACAAGGCCTGCTGCTCCTGGTCAATCTCTGACTCAGGAGGCCTCTCCTGCTGTCAGCAGCCCACCACCCTTAACACAAAGCAGCACATACCTGACCGAGGCACCAGCTGGGAAGAAGAAGCTATCTCTGCTCCCCTTTTCCAGCCTAGTATGCATAGCTGAATTCTCCTTAAAATAAACACAGGTATGATTACACACCAGCATGACTGAAAAAATGAAACAGATGTGACTGCAGCTGGAGTCTCAGCTTGTGCCTAACACTGGTTACCCACCTGACAAGCTTCAACGCTACCTCCTCCTGGTTCTGTGTGTAAAGCTCCTGGCCTGGCAAATCCCACATAGGCTAACAGATCTGTCATTTGCGGGGAAGGATTTACTGAGGCTGGCTGTTCAGTCAGTTCATAGATACTTACTGAGCGTACCACACCTCTGGCCTGTGCTGAAGCTGAGGGCACAATTGTGAGTGGAGCAGAGGTGGCGCCTACCTCACAAGTTCCAGAGAAGTGAGGGAGCTGTAGATAGAATCTCGCCCACAAATGAAGATATAATTCCCAGGGAGCTCACTAAGTTGATAATGGTTGTACATAGAGGTTTAAAAAAAGAGAAAGGCATATTTATATGCTCTGTGGACTGTGAGATGGTAGAAAGCAAGGCATTTTGGTACAACTGAAATAAGCCTAAATTCAATATGGTATCCTGGATCACATCCCAGAACAGATTTTTAAAACTAATGAAAAAACTGGTGGAATCGAAATAGGACCTAACATTTCGTTAATAGCAATATACCAATGTCTGAGCAAT